CCCATGGCCCTGTAGAGGAGCGTCGGTGGCATCAACACACGCAATAGTCCGTAGTGACGAAGGACCGTACAGACCTCGGCTTTGCTTCGCGGTGCCCCAGGGAGGCTGTCGCCCGCTCAGGCTGTCCCCGACTCGCAGGACACAACTGGCTGCTATGCTTTAGTGCCAGGGCAGTGCGTGACGCGCGGGGGCAGCTTCCCTCTCTTCCATGGGTGCTGGTGCGTTTGAAGTGCCGCATCTCTGAAACCAGGACTAGGCAGGCAGGAGGGCTGCGCTTCAGTGCCCACCCCGGAATATTCCGTTCTGAGCCCCCTGCATGGAGACTCAACAGCCTCGGTCCTGACAAGAGATCAGTGCCCAAGCTTGGTCTCCTCAGAAACTGGCATCCTTTAAAAGAAGGGGAAGAAAAAAAATAAAAAAATCTGTGAGTCAGTCAAATGGAACAGATGGCACTGCCTTTCTTGCCCAGCAGAACAGCTGAGTCGGAAAGTAGAGACCTATACCTCTTTGGAGATAATCCGGAATCCCTTGGGCCCCGTGACAAGTTACGTTAGTGTCATTGCAGCTGAAGGATTAAAACCCACAGCCTAACCCCGACGGGGAAAGTCTTCTTTCCGTGTCCAAACAGGCACTGTGTTTGTTGAAAGATGCCAACGCAGGTCTTCAGCGATCCCACCCAAGCTCTGGGCTGTCGCTGTTCCGCCTCGTTCGGACATCACTTCTCTGTGAAATGCCATCACTAGGATGGCGTTTCGGGCGGAGACCTGGCTGCATTTCAACATGCTGGGTCAGGATCCCCCCAGCTCTGGACAGCGCTGTTACCACAGCCTGCCCTCGGGGTATTTCTGTCTGAGCAGCAATTGCTTTGTTTTCTCTTTCTACATTCAGTCCCCGCGTGGATTTTGCTTCCAGGAGGGAACTTCAATACAAAAAGCCGAAACCCTCCATTATCCCCCAAGATCAGAAATAATACTGCTCGTTTGCCGTCTGGCATGCAAACTTTAACCATATTTTTGTTTTTGTGATTGTGTTTGTACAGGAGTTCCTTGGGTATTGAAACTGGATGGCCCAAAATGTGGGGAGGGTAAGCCTTGAATGTAAAACCCGCGAGCTGCTCGGCAACCTGCAAGTGCCGTGGCCGACCTGGCAGTGATCCGGGTGGTGGAATATGCACACTGGCTGCTGCTTTGCGACTGAAGCCTGTAACTCTGGCTTGCCAGAAGTAAAATGAACCTAATGGGGGACACGTTGATTGGCTTTTGATCTATTACTTTTTGCCTTCTCATTAGGAAAAACCCTTCCTAGATACCGTCATGTTAACGAGATGGTGTTATGTCACTGTGCTGATGCTGCATAGAGAACTCGAGTGAGGAGGCTGAATTGGACAACTGGAGTTGAAAAAGCAATGTTGAAAGTCCCGTTGTAAGATGACTTACTTAAGTTGGGTGTCTTTCCCAATTCACTTTCTCTCCCTGAAACGCTCATGAAAATGTTTCTCCGTTACTACTGTGTTACAGAATTCTAAACCGAATGCTGAGATCAAAACTACCTGAAGTAATCACGGCTTTAATTAATAGGATGATGTCAATCCTGATGTTTTTCTTATGTCATCTTAAATAAAATGATCCTAAAATATTTTTGGTTTTGCATAAACAAATGCAAAGCCATACTTCTTTCAGTACAGCTTTGCCATTGATCGATTTTTAATTGTCATGAATTTTGCCCTCTGGTTTATAAATACTGCTCATAATTACGATTTAATCACCTAAGTAGCCTCAAAGAAAATCTATTCCAGGAAAAGCGTAATGAAATTACTAGTCATACCTGGTTTTTCTTAAAATCAGCAGCAACAGCCTAATCAGTAGAATCTGTACTATCAAAGTGGAGAAGCGTTCAAGCTGAGGAGGAGGTGCTTTGCCTTATTCAGCCCAGGTCATGGTGTGTTTCTCAGAAGCTTGTGGCCCTGTAGCAAAACGAAGATGCGGGTTTAGGCCTATGCATTTACGCCAGCTGGCCTTTATGCATTTAAGCTGACTCTTCCCATGCAAACAGCAGTATTGGAGGACATCTTTTTTCTTTCAGAGAATTGCTATGAAACGGAAGCTTTCAACATGCTCTACTACAGAACAGGCTCCTGACTGGATACTTTGGAGGTCAGAAGTTCCCAAACGACTGATTGCTCAAGTGAGCCAAGGTAAGACAATTCTAAATGTAATGGGATCGAAGCTTTGCGCTAATGCAGTATCCCTGGCAGTTTGAGCCGCTCCAGCCTCCAGCTGCACTTGCTGCAAAGGACACTGGATGTGCACGGGACCTGACAAAAAGTTCACCCGTTTGCCTCGCGAGATTAATGCCAGGGCTGTGTTTTGCCATGCGATAGTTCTTGCAGTTAGCGAGATACCCTGTCCTACAGTGCAATATGCATTTGAGGTTACAGAGTGTATTAAAATGTGTCAGGTTCTCGTCTACAAATTAAAAAACAAACAAACAAAAAAAGCTGCTGTAAGGAAATAGCTTCTAGAGGAATCCCATTAACACAGCTTTGTTTTCTCATTTAGCTTAATAAGCACAGTATAAGTCAGGGAAAAATAATCATGTATCTAAACTCTGAAATTAATTTCCTGTATTTTAAACCCTCCTAGTGCTACTGATCAAACTTGATCAGGTCGCTGGGAAGATCGTTATCTGGATTTGTAGGATTAAGTACTCTTCATGTCCCAGTAATGGATTTTTACCATCATGCTAATTAAGAACATATTTTATGCCAGGCCAGTACAACCCCTGGCTAATCTTTGTGGTGTTCACCCCGCTGTGCAGAGGCTCTGTAGGGGAACCAGCACTTGGCGACAGCCGGGTGAGTGCCCTGATGGGGCTGCGTTACCGGGACGGCTTTCCCGGGGAACTGGGGGTCTTTCCACGCGCCTCTGCTCCGGAAGCACCCAGCCGGTGGCTTCCCCAAAGCGGGAGAAGTGCCAACAAATCTGCTTAATTGGGGCGAGGGGTGCGGTGGACATGGGCCCTGGAAGACAAGTTAGCAATAATGGGAAACGGAGGGGAAAAAACCGTTCCCAAAGCAGTCTGTGGGGGAAGCGGAGGAAGGTTGCACCTGGGGGGCTGCCGCAGGCACCGGCACC